GCCTGAGGGGGTGCAAGGGGAGCTGGGATTAAGGCTGGAGGGGGGGTGCATGGAGGGCTGAGCCTGCCCACCCCATCCAACAATGCTTGTGTTCTCTGGGGGTGTTGGCTCCCATCGCTTCCTCAGGTCTGGGGATGCTGCATTCAGACCTAATGGTGGTGCGCAAGCCCCTACAGCACAACAGGTTGGAGCTGGGTTGGTTTGCCCACAGCCAAGGTAAGGGATGGCCCCCCTCTCACCTGAGCTCCTCAATGATGCCAGGGGAGAGCCGGTGCTCCCGGATGCGTCCCACCTCGTGCGGCAGCTGCCCCACCAGCTCCACAGTGGTGACGTGACGCAGGTCCAGCCCGCAGGCAGCTTGCTGTGGATGGGAGGGGTGATGGTGATGGGCTGCTGGAGTGGAGGTGGGAAGGGGGGCAGCGGGAGAGTCTCCTCACCTGCAGCATGGACATCTGCATCTTGTAGTAGCGGTTGGAGGGGTCGGGGGCTGAGATGATGAGGAGACGGCGCTTCTCATGGAACTGGTCCAGCAGGCTGGCGGCCGAGCTCACATCCGTGTTGATCTGCATGGCTGGGGCGAGAGGGGAGCGTGTGGGGAGGGTTTCACCCCCTCGCCCCTTCCCCATCCCTTCACCCTGCCCCACACCTACGTGCACAGATGGGCTGGGAGCCCGTCCACTGCTGTGTGGACTGGCAGACCCGCAGGGAGGTCCCCACGCGCTCGTAGCCCCCATCGCACTGGTACTCGCAGGTAGCCCCGTAGTTGTTGCCGTCGGAGGTGCAGGAGAGGTGCCCATTCTGCGGGGGCTTCAGCACAGGGCAGCGCCTCACTGCGGAGGGGAAGGCTGTGGTGAGGGCTGGGGGCGATGGGGCATGGTCCCAGCTATGGGGTGAGGAGCCTGGGGATGGCTTCACCTTGGACACGGATACTGAACTTGCAGCTGGCTCTGTTGTAGGCCTGGTCATAGGCTGTGTAGCGGATGATGTGCTCTCCTTCAGGGAATTCCGAGCCGGGCTCCAGGCCCCGCAGCATCACCCTGCATCCAGCAGATGGGTTTCTCCATCAGTGGTACCCAGCACAGTCCATAGCCAGCAATGCCCGCAGCATCTTCACCTCACCTCTTGATGATGCCATCCGCAGAGTCCTTCACACGGGGGGGGTCCCAGTAGACGATGGCAGTCAACTTGCCAGGCTCGGCTATGCGCTCCCGGGAATCCGGGCAGCGGATCTTGGGAGGCTCTATGTCTGCCCACAGGGACGAGAGGCAGTCAGGGAGGCTGTGAGTGCTGGGGCTGGGCTGTGAGAGCTGGGTACCAGTGCTTGGACACCCCAGGGTGCTGTGCTCCAGGATGCATAGCACATGCATCCTAGAGTCAGCAAGACCTGCTGTGGAATGCCTCAATCCTGGACCAATGTGCCCTGCACTACCCATGCTTTGGGAATAACAGCGCCTCTGGGAGCATCACTGATAGGGACCCAAGTACACGAGGTGCAGGAGCTGGTACCTAGCAATACCTGGGTGGGATGTGGAGGTGATACCTGCAGCACCCCAGGGATGGAGGTGACCTCTCCTTGCATGCATGGCGCTGTGAGGACAGAGGGTGAGAATTTACCTACACAGACTGGCTCGCTGCCGCTCCAGCGCCCATCCTCCATGCAGACCCGGCTCCGGTCCCCCTCCAGCTGATACCCGGGCAGGCAGGAGTAGTCACAGCGGGAATCCATCTGCACCCCGGCCGAGCACACGTAGGAGCCACGCAGCACCGCGGGCAGCACGTGGCACCGGATCTCTGCCATGGACAAAGCCAAGAGGGGAGGGAGGAGGGGTGCGGTTCCCGGGCCATACCCGAGGGCAGGGCACGCACTGGGGATGCCGGGGCTCACTCACGTCGGCAGTACGCCATCCCGGACCAGTGGCGGCTGGGCAGGCACTGCACGGCGCTGGGCCCCACCAGCCGGTACCCGCGGGCACAGCTCAGCTCGCAGCGGGTACCCAGGGTGCTGCGGTAGGAGCCGCCGCGGGGCGAGTAGCAGGTGGCATCGCCGCGGTGGATGCTGAGCGTGGCGCACCACTGCGGCACTGTGGGGCAGGAGCCAAGTGAGGGGGGTACCCGGCCCCGCGGTGACCCAGTGTGCCCGTGGGGAGCCCCGAGGGATGGGTTGGGGTGAGGGTACCTCGGTGGTAGTCCAGGGCAGGCTCTGGGGGCACGTCCTCCGTGTACACCTCGTTGGTGTGGCTCTCGGAGGGGTAGTAGCCAGACCCTGGGGAGGAGGAAAGAGATAAGGAGGCTGCTGTGCCATGGTTTGTGGTTGAAGCAGCACCCAGGTGATGATGCCTCCGTGCACCCCCCGGCACTGAAACATCCCAACGAGAGATTCCCGTCCCTGTCCTGCTGCTCCTGGGGCTGCTAGCAAGGGTTAAGCCTGGCAGACAGTGAGCCCAGTCCCCAGTGACACTGTGTGTGCTGGCACCGGCTGCAGACTAAACAGTGGCAGGAGCCGTGGTTATGGCAGGAAACAGGCACTGGCACAGAGCGGGCTGGCACCGACCCCTGGCTTTGCGCTGCTGGGAAGTGCTTCCACCCGCTCCGTGGCACCATCCAGCATCCCAAAGGAACAGAGCTGCCCCCTCATCCCAGTGGAGCCCCTGGCCAAGGCGAGGGATGCTGCAGCCTCCCCGCTCCCATCAGGGAGCATGAAGCTGCTGGAAGGGCTGGCCTCACACCACCCATGGCCCCAGGGATAGGGGGAGGACAGCCTTGCACCATCCTCATGTCCCGCCATGGGCCAGGGACCAGCAGGCAGGGGCCGAGGGCTTTGTCCTCCCCTTCGGCGCCGCAGCAGCCACGGCATTCCCCAGCTCTGAGCTCACGTTTCCGCTCTGTTTCCGCTGGCCCCCTCCTCGACATCATCCATCCCATCCCATTCCATCCCACCGCGCTCCCTGCTCCCGATGGGTTGGGAGAGAAGGGACCCCGGGTAAAGCAGCAGCCCTGCTGTGGCTGCAACTCCCCTTCACCCTGCTCCAGGCTTTAGGAAGGGGATATCCCCTGAGCCCATTCCCAGCAGCAGCCCCGGGGAGGAAACTCCATTACAAATCTTTCCGACATGAACTTTATTATGGAGCGATTCCCTGCTGCTTCCCCCAAGCTCCATGAAGTTGCCCACTCGTTCCCACAAGCCTTTCATCCCAATGTGCTTCCCACGCTGCCTTGGGGAGCGGAGGGGACCGGGGCAGGGTTGGCATCCATGGGGCTGGTGGTGGGGATGTCAGTGACCCCCCCCAAGCAAGGATGCTTCCTGGGGGGCTACCGAGCCCCTCACCAGGGCTCTATGGATGGATGACACTGTGTCCCTGCAGGCAGATGTGCCATTTCATTGCGACATTCCCCTGCTGTTCCTTCTCACCTGGGGACACTGGGTAGGAGCATCCTGAGCCAGCGGTGCTGGCATAATGGCAAGGGGATGGGAATGGGATAGGGATGGGAGCAGGGAAGGGGGAACCCCCCCAAACAGGACAAAGGCATTGATCCCTGACCCCGCTGTGGGACTGAGTGCTTGATCCAAGCAAACATCTGCATGCGATGTCCCGTGGGAGCAGGGGGTCAGCGGGAACGCTGCACGCACGATGCAGGGCTCGTTTTACTCCTCTCTGGGTGCCTCCCAGCACCCGCTCTGCTCCCCCACAGCGCCCCATACCCCACAGGCACCGCTGCTCTCCCCGTCACCCACACCCTGCTCCCCTCCCTCCATCCCCACTGCGAGCCCCCGATGGGAGCAGGACCCCGCAGGCTGCATCCCCATGGAGCCCAGCACTCACCTTCATGCCACGTGGATGACACCAGCCTGGCCAGGACAACCAGCAGGATGGGGGCCGCATCCTGCGCCATGCTGGGGGCCGTGCAGGGCTGGGGGCAGGACCAGGGCCCTGCTGCCTGCGCTCAGCAAGCCTACTTCTCCCCTCTGCTGCCCGTCCCGAGCATTCAAAAGCCGTGAGTCAGGCCCAAAACGATGGGATTGTTAAAAATAACAAGTCCCAGGATCTCCCGTTTTCCAACGCACCTCCGGCTTCTCCCGGGCTTTGGAAGGTTGCGGGATCCTTTCACTTCTCAAGCAGAGCCAGGAGCCTGTTTGGACACAGGGGAGAGCCGAGCCTGTGCCAAGCTCCGGGAATGGGGTTCCGGGATGCTAAAGATGAACCCCTGGGATTCAGGACCCTTTGTGCTAGGAGGGAGGGAGAGCCCCGCTGCAGCCGCGGGCTCCGAGCGCGGTCCGGAGGCAAACGCTTCCAGCTGGGAGCTGTTTTCCAGCTGAGGTTCAGCCCCGCGGCGCAGAGGTAATGAAGCACGGTCCTTAGGACCCGAGTCCATGGGGCTGGATGGGAGGAGGCAGCCGCTGCCTGGGGTTTGGGGTCTGGAGCACGGTGATGAGGGCGGGAGAGGGATGAGCCTGGCATGGGCAGGTAGAGCTGGCGTGGGGAGGAGGGGGGGGGGGGGGGGGGGGGGGGCTCTGTGTGAATGCACTAATTATGTGGCAGCCAGCAGTGTAATTAACAGCACAGCTGGCCTGGCAGCGGGGGAGGCAAGAGGCCATGTGTGGGGACACCCCCGGGGAGGGGATGGGGTGCCCGCCCTATGGTGGCTGCTCCGGCTGGTCCCTGCTCTGCTGGGGGGGACATACGGGATGGAGCGGGGGTCCATGGTGGCGTTGGGTTGTATCGGCAGTGGTGGGGCAGGAGGGCAGGGAGTGGGGGCATGGGGCAGACAGGAGGTGACATAGGACAGGCAGGGGGTGGTACAGGGCAGGAGAGCAAGGACTGGGTGGCGTGGGCAAGCAGTGGGTGACATAGGGCACGCGGGAGGCGATGCACTGGCGGCAAGTAGCCTGCAGGGGGCGACACGTGGAGGGAGGAGCGCCACACCGGGGCGCAGCGCCAACGCCTTCGGTCGCGCTCGGCCATTTCCGTGAGCGCTCGGGCGGCTCCGGCAGCGCTCGGGCGGCTCCGGCGCGGCGCGGAGCGGGGCGGAGCGTGTTCGGCTGCGTTCGGCCCGTGTCGGCCATGGCGTCTCCGTCGCGGCGGCTGCAGACGAAGCCGGTGATCACCTGCCTCAAGAGCGTCCTGCTCACCTACACCTTCGTCTTCTGGGTGAGAGCCCGCCCCGGCCCCGCCGCCTGTCGCGCCCGCGCCGCCCTGTCGCGACAGTGGCGAGCTGTGCCCCGTGCCCGCAGGTGTCGGGCATCGTGCTGCTGGCGGTGGGCGTGTGGGGCAGCGTGAGCCTCGCCGTGTACTTCTCGCTGCTGGACGAGAAGGCCACCAACGTCCCCTTCGTGCTGGCGGGCGCCGGCACCGTCGTGGTGCTCCTGGGCACCTTCGGCTGCTTCGCCACCTGCCGCGGCAGCACGTGGATGCTCAAGCTGGTGCGTGCCATGGCTGGGATGGACCCCATCCGCTCCTGACCCCTCCCGGCACGTCCCCAACCTCGCTTCCCCGGCCCATCCTACTCCAGCCTTCCCCACGCCATCCCAAGCCCACCCCATCGCAACTCCCTCCTGTCCTACCCCACCACAGACCTGTCCCGTCCTACCCCGTCACAACCCTGTCCTGCCCTACCTCATCCAAACCTTGACATGTCCTACCCTATTGCAACCCCATCCTGTCCCTAACCCTAGCCCTGTCCCATCTTACCCCATTGCAGCCCTGTCCCATCCTATCCCTGTCCTGCCCTACCTCATCCCAACCTTGACATGTCCTACCCCATCCTGTCCCTAACCCTAGCCCTAGCCCTGTCCCATCTTACCCCATTGCAGCCCTGTCCCATCTTACCCCATCCCAGCCCTGTCCCATCCTATCATATCACAACCCCGTCCTGCCCTACCTCATCCCAACCTTGACATATCCCACCCCATCCCAACCCTGTCCTGTCCCTAACCCTAGCTCTGTCCCATCTTACCCCATCACAACCCTGTCCCATCCTACCCCACCACAACCCATCCCATTCTACCCCATCCCAGTCCTGTTTCATGTTACCCCATCCCAGCCCTGTCCTGTTCTACCCCATCACAACCCTGTCCTGCCCTACCTCATCCCAACCTTGACATACCCTACCCCATCCCAAGCCCATCCTGTCCTACCCTAGCCCTGTCCCATCTTACCCCATCACAACCCTGTCCCATCCTACACCACCACAACCCATCCCATTTTACCCAAACCCAATCCCGTTCCATTTTACCCCATCCCAGCCCTGTCCTGTCCTACCCCATCACAACCCTGTCTCGCCCTACCTCATCCCAACTTGACATATCCTACCCCATCCCAACCCTGTCCTGTCCCTAACCCTAGCTCTGTCCCATCTTACCCCATCGCAACCCTGTCCCATCAAACCCCACCACAACCCGTCCTGTTCTACCCCATCCCAGTCCAGTTCCATCTTACCCCATCCCAGTCCTGTCCTACCCCATCACAACCGTGTCCTGCCCTACCTCATCCCAACCTTGACATACCCTACCCCATCCCAACCCCATCCTGTCCTACCCTGCCCTGTCCCATCTTACCCCATCGCAACCCATTCCCATCCTACCCCACCACAACCCCAACCCTATCCCATTTTACCCCATCCCAGCCACATCCCATCTTACCCCATCACAACCCTTTCCCACCCTACTGCATCCCAACCCCATCCCATCCTATCCTGCCCCATCCCATCTGGCCCGTCCCACCCCGTCCTTTCTGCCCGCAGTATGCCATGCTCCTGTCCCTCATTTTCCTCATTGTCCTGGTGGCCGCTGTCGTGGGGTTCGTCTTCAGGCACGAGGTGAGTCTGGTGCTGGTGATGTGGAGCCACTCTGGTGCTGGTGTTAACCCAGGTACAGTGATGGCACTGGAGGGACCAGTGGCAGCAGTGCTTGCTTTAGTTAAAATGGGTTTAAACTGGCCCAAAGAGCAGCTTGGTCCCTGTAAGACCATAGAACATGGAATGGTTTGGGTTAGAAGGAGCCTTAAAGCTCATCCAGCTCCAACCCCTGCCACGGGCAGGGACACCTTCCACTAGAGCAGGGTGCTCCAAGCCCCATCCAACCTGGTCCTCAAGGACCCGTAAGGTCCCCGTAGGGGAGAGGCTGGGTGTATGCTGCCCCTTCACCAGAACAGGCTGAGTAGCCTGGACTTTAATTCCTGGCTTTGGTCTATCTTCTGCGGTGATTTCTGTAATTAAATCATTAAATGAAAGCCTCTGAGGCTTCCTGCACCACGGAGCAGCCTCTTGGGGGGGACCGGCACCGCGCACATCCTTGTTATTACACACACACAGCATCCCAGCCTGCCCTTGAATACAGCCTTTACCTGCCTGGGGACAGGGAACGTCTGCTGGCCATGGCCAGACTCATTGCTGCCATCACCAAGAGGTGACTAACATGGGGCCATGGGTCCCCAAGCACGGGAGGGGTTGGCAGCACCGCAGAGACCTCTCTGTTGCAGATCAAGACCAACTTTGAGAGTAACCTCAACCTGGCCTTGAAGGGCTATAATGTGACTGCGGATCGGCACAGCGAGGCTGTTGACACCATCCAGAGAACCGTGAGTGCTCCACAGTGGCGGTGGGAGAATGGTTCTGCACCGTGGAGGTTTGAGTTTGGGAGATGCTGGGTGAGATGGGGGCAGTTTGTGGGGAGGTAAGGGCATGGGAGTGATGGTAGGATATGGGTGACTGTCCTTCCCCCTCCAGCTGCACTGCTGTGGGGTGCAGAACTACTCGGACTGGGAGAGAACTGAATACTTCACCCAGAGAGGCATCCCCCAGAGCTGCTGCAGGAGCCAGGACGACTGCTCAGAGGAGGACCTGAAAGACCTGGGCAAGGCCAAGCTGAAGGTGTTTGTGGACGTAAGTGAAGCTCAGCAAATCCCTCTGCCTGTCCTAGAGGTGTGCAGGGCAGAGCTGGATGGGTGGAGAAGGGCTTGTCCTTCCTGATGTAGCTGGAAAGAACTGCTCCCTGCAGCCCAGGAATTCCCCTAGGGTGGATGTGGGGGTATGGTAGAGAGAAATGAGCCCTTCCTTGTGTCTCGTGTCCCCTCCACTCCTCCTTTGGAGCTCAGGGACCAGCCAGACCCAAGCGTTTGTGTGCAGCTGAATAAGAAGGTAATTTCCCAGTGAAGTATGGGCACTGCTGACGTCTGCCTGCCCCAGTGCTGCGCAGGCAGGGGTGACCTCACCCTGCAGGTGATGCAAGGGATGTACCTCTGATGAGTCACTGCTTCAAGGCAAGGACCAGGAGCACCTTGCTCAACCCAGTTCCCTTGGGAGCAGCCCACGGGCAGCCCTCCCTTTGATAACGCTGCTGGGCTGGGAGCTGCTCACTGATAGGGGAAGGACTTTGACAAGGTCAGGCAGGAGAATGGGAGCGTCTTCCCCTGGCGCTGGTGTGTGCTGTGGTGATAAGCACTGCAGCCACGTGCCTGCTTTCCCTCCTTTGCAGGGGTGTTTCTTCCTGGTCACGTCAGTGATGGAGTCGAAGATGAGCATTGTGGCTGGAATCTCCTTTGGCATTGCGTGCTCCCAGGTAAGCCTGCCTTGCCTGGCACAGGAGGAGCGCAGGCACTGCTGTGTCTCTGGAGGTGTTTAACCCCTGCACAAAGGCTGGTGCGTGTACAAAAGGCACGGGCTGTGTCAGCCAGGGAGGAGCATCCATCCCGCAGGTTCCCCTTGGGTTTAACCTCACTGTAGTGCTGTCCCCAGTCTCTTAAACCCTGTGCTGAAGCACCAGCTCTGTTTCCACGAGCCCAGGTTGTTTGAGAACAGAGCTCCTGCCTCAAACAGCTGGCTTCAGGGAAAACCAGATGGAGCCTGTGCTGGGCAAACCCCCTGCGTTTGCTGTTGGGGTCGGATGTGTGCCCTTCCTTTTCCTAGCCGCTGACCTTCCTCTTCAGCAGGGAGGTGTTTTGGCATCACTTCAGCGTGGCTGCATGCCTGTGAGTGCCTGTGGAGGGCACCACCGGTGCCACTTACCCTGTCCTCTGTGTCCTCCCCAAACCCTCCTTTATCCCGCGGGACACTTCCTGCAGGAGCTGCAGCAGGAGCGTGCTCGCCAGCCCCTGCTCCAGCAGGCTTTATCCCATCAGGAAACAAGGGGCCCCTGGGCCCCTCCCATAGACTGAGCATTGGGCGCGCTGACGCCGTGGTGAGGTTTCCCGAAGTGCCGAGGGTTTTCCGATGCTCTGCAGCCTGGGCTCTGGGATGGCCTTGACCTCAGAGGGGCTGGAATTCACCTTCGTTATCCAGCACGTACAGGCTGTGGTATGAACTTCCAGGTGGAAGTCGACCTGCGCCAGCACGGGGGGAAGGAACCCCACTAGGATATTCCTTCCCTAACAAGCACGTTGCTGTGTGTTCCCAGTAAGAGATGGGTTGAACTGGGGGAGAGGTGGGAGCCGCAGCTCCTGGCTGTTGCTTGTGCTTCCAAGTGTTTTTGGATGGAACTGGGAGAGACCGAGAGCTGGAGCTGCTGCGCCACTGACCACACTGTCCTTCTCAGTGAGCTGTGGGGTCACTGAGACGTGACAACATACAGACAGTGGTGAGCTGCACTCTCCCAGATCCCGAATTACCCCGGCTGATGCCAGGCTTGGGAATTGTTACCGGTTCCTGGCTTTTATCCCTCTTCCAGCAAGCTGAGCCATGCAGCCGGCTGGGACCCATCATGCAAATGTGCCTTTAACTTTGCTTGTGTAGGTCAGACTCCAGCAGGATGTGGCCCCAAATGTCTGCACAGGGGCTGGGAGGACGTGTTGTGATAACAAGAGCGTGTCCTTCAGATGCTGATGGGAAAACACCAACCTTGTCCTTGCCACGGGGAGAAGTGGCTGCTGTTCTCTAGTGGCTGTGTAATTGGCTGTGATGCTCCTGAGATCTATGTAGTCTCCAGAATTGCCATAAAACAGTAGATGCTTCATGAAGCAAAATGTAACCGGATGGGATGAGGAGCATCTCGTGTGGGGAGCTTGTTTGGCTGATGTCTGCAGGATGCTCTGCTTCAGCCTCTCAGTTATTCCAAAGCAGGGCAAAGCAGCCCGTGTTGTGGTTTGTAAATCCCACTGTCCATGCTTGGATTTTATAATACTGGAGTTCTGGAGCAATATATCAAGCTTTACCCCTAAAAACCACCGTATCCTGGTTGTGGCTACCTCTGATGTGTGTTTTCTCTTTTTCAGTTGGTTGGCATCATTCTCGCCTGCTGCCTGTCCCAGTACATCACCAACAATCAGTACGAGATGGTGTAGGTGGCCTCCAGCACACTGTGGCTGTGGCCAGGTAAGTCTGTCCAGTGATGTAAGTGCAACGGGCAGCCTCTGCATCCCTGGCTGCTGCCTGGTCACCCCTGGGGACCCTCAGCATGGTGGTGGGTACCACATGGGGGTGTGGGGATAGGGGGCAAGGCAGTATGTGCTGTCATGTGTGCTGGGCTGCGTCCCCAGAGCATGAGCTGCCAGTTGAGGGAGGGGATTCAACCCCCTCTGCTGCTGTCTGTGGAGACCCCCTCTGCAGTCCTGGTCCAGCTCTGGGGCAGCAGCACAAGAGGGACGTGGAGCTGCTGGAGTGAGTCCAGAGGAGGCCATGGAGATGCTGCGAGGGCTGGAGCAGCTCTGCTCTGGAGCCAGGCTGAGAGAGCTGGGCTGGGGCAGCCTGGAGAAGGCTCCTGAAGGGGAGACCTGAGAGCAGCTCCAGTGCCTGAAGGGGCTGCAGGAAAGCTGGAGAGGGGCTTGGGACAAGGGATGTAGGGACAGGCCAAGGGGAATGGCTTTAACCTGCCCGAGGGGAGACTGAGATGAGCTCTTAGGCAGAAGCTCTTCCCTGTGAGGGTGCTGAGGCGCTGGCACAGGGTGCCCAGAGAAGCTGTGGCTGCCCCATCCCTGGCAGTGTTCAAGGGCAGGTTGGACACAGGGGCTTGGAGCAAGCTGCTCTAGTGGAAGGTGTCCCTGCCCGTGGCAGGGGTTGGAGCTGGAGGAGCTTTAAGGTCCCTTCAACCCAGTCCATTCTATGATTCATTGTAAGCTGTGCATAGCCCAGCCTGCTCTGCTAACGCTGTTCCATGTGTTGCAGGGTGTGCTCTCCATGGCTCTCCACCACCTCCAATTTTCCTCTGGATGTCGCTTCGGGAAATCTTGCTTTGAACTGACTGATCCTCTCACCTAGCTCTTAGGAACGAGCACAGCCTTGTCCTGGTGTGCTCGGGGACTCGTCCTGACACTACTCTGCTGTGCCACCGTGTGGGGTAATCAGTGTAGCTGCGGTGGTTACAGCAAGCATGCTCCTCCGTTGGCTCGGTGCTGTGCCTTGTGGGACTCCTGGTGCTCCTCTCAGTGCCTCCATCGGGAAAGCAACACTTTCCTCATCTCCAGCAGCCCCTCTGGATGCGGTTGCTCTTGAGATGGGGCTGTTGCCCTGTTCCAACCCACGCTGTCTGCCCAAAGCCCTTGGCTCAGCAAGGTCTCTGCTTGATGCCAAGCTCTTCTGTCTCATCCCTGCCCTGGGGTTTATATACTTCTTTATAGTTGTACTTTCTGAAGTACAGGCCATAGTGATTCTTTGTAAGCTGTAGCAAGGTCTGGTGATATAGCTCCTGGTGCCTTTCCTTTGGTAGGTGTCCTTGCACCGAGTCAGCTGTGACTTGATTGTCAGTATTACGTGCTGCTTTAACTCATTTTATGTATTGAATAGAACTCTCTCGTCCTGACACACAATAAATATTAAGATATTTTACCCTGTGAAACCACCTTGGCTTTTCTTTCCATCTCCTGGCACTGTGGAGAGCAGCAAACCCCACTGGGAGATGATGTGGCTGCCCCAGGCCAACCGGTAAGCTCTGGACCATTGCAGCTCACAGCGCCAGTGCTCACTGGTGCACTCCTGCTTACCAGTAACTCCTGTAATTGAAGTTCTTCATAACAGTGCTTGTGTAACAGTGCTGGAGCAGAAGGCCTGGAGCATCCCAACCCCATGTAAATGTGTGGATCACTGAGAGCAAGGGGCAGGGCAGAGCTGCTGGAGCTTGTGCCCAGCCTCTCCTCTGGGTAAGAAACATGCACTGAAGCATCCGTGTTCGTTTGATACTGCTCATCTTGAGGCTGTTTGTCAGGCAGCTTTGCCTTGCTGGTGCCATGTGGTGCAGTGAAACCCCCCCTCCTTGGGGGCTTCTTGGGTCTGGAGGGTGGAAGTGACACGGGCTGTGGCTTGGAGCACAGCGGAAGGTGGAAAAGGAGTGGTTAAGCCATGGGTAGGAGCAGTGGCTCTGTCAGCGCACGCCTGGCTGAGCTGCCCCATGGTGCTGCAATGACCCGCTGCTGACGGAGGAACCCAAAGGGAACACCCGAAACCCTGGTGTGTTGCATTGAACCCAGGTGAGTCAATCAGAGCTCTGCCAGCACCGAAAGCCTCCCGGGTCGGGCAGCGTGCGTCAGAGCATGGAAACCAGATTGGAGAGATGGGCTCACAGCGGTTGATGGATGGAGGGAGACGGGAGCACGTGAGAAGCAGGGCCAGGTCTGGATGAACCCATCCGTGTCAGAGGGAATTGTGCCTGCCTCTGCTGGCAGCTTCCTTCCACAGGTATGGGGTGATGTTGTTAGAGAGTGGCTTAGGGAGCCCAGAGGTTCCAAAACCAGCACTGCTGGTCCCTGTGGCCAGAGACAGGCACCCATCAGAGGGTGCAGATCTCACCCAGTTAAACAGTGCTTACGCAGGCACCTCACTTTAATTTGCAGAGACATCAGTGTATGCCAGAGGTACAGGCGTGTGCTGGGGGAATGCCATGCTGTCCTGGCAAAGGCACTGATGTACTTTGGTGATGAGACTGGACCCACTGAGCCAGGACACGAGCACGGGCTGGTTTCCTGCAACAGCTGTGTCTGGGTGGGTTTCACATGTCCCCGCTGCATTCAGACCTCCCCTCTCATGGGGATAAATGTCTTGAGGGACGCATCAGAAACACGTGGTTTCACCAGGGCTGTTGGTGTCCCTTGGGATGCCATATGTGGAGCTCTGCTGCTCCGCTCAGCACAGCTGTGAGCAGGGATGGAGGGAGCTGCCCTTAAAACGTGCTTACATCCCCATGGGAGCCGCAGGGATGCAGGGAGGGCCTGGCAGCACCAGGGACACCATGGCTGGCACCCAGCACAGTGGCACCGAGCAGGGCCTGACCTTTGCTCCCTCTGGCTTTGGCCACCCGGTTCTCCAGGGAAGCTCCTGCCTACCCATTGCCCACATGACTCCTAATGGGACTGGAGCTGTCACTGAGCACATCAGAGCGTGCTGGAACAGCAGGTCGAGATGAACTGAACAACTCCCAGCACCATCAAGGAGCAAATTAGGGACCTCGGCACGTTCCCAATGAGGTGAGCGCTGGCAGTCCTGCTCCTTGAGTTATGGATGCTTGTGATGAGGCAGCTGAGCAATTAGATCACTCCCAGACCCATTAAGCATCCCAGGCTGAGACTAAATGACTTCCCATTTTCTTTGCAATCGCTCATACAAGATGTTTATTGTTTGCCTCTTGCCGCTCAGCGTGGCCACGATGCGCTTCAGCATGGACCCCACAGCACTTGGGAGGGGGACCACGCATCCCTGCAGCGGGGATGTGTGAGCACACGGACCATCCAGCCCCATAGCGCAGCGCAGGATGCCAGCGGGCAGGCGGTGTGTGCATGGTGAGGGTGCTGTGGTTGGCAGCACCCAATCAGGTAATGACCTGCATGTTGGGTATGTCGGGATGCCTCCAGATGGGTGCGAGGTGGGCACGGGCAGGATCTGAGCCTACACCCTGCCCAGCATCCGAGCGATCCACCAGTTGCAGGGCATGATGATGCGGCAGATGACCCTGCCGCCCTGGTAGCAGTAGGGGTAGGGGTAGTAGCCCAGCAGGGGCTCGCAGACCCGCCGGCAGTAGCGGTTGGCGCGGCGGCACTGGGCGCAGCAGTACCCGCGCTCGTCCCACAGCGGGTGGAACTCCAGCCCGTTCTCCGACTGCCAGGGAGAGCAGTGTCAGCACAGCCAGGGGGATGTGTGACCGAGGCATCCCGGAGCATGGGCAGGACATCCCAAGGAACATGGGCAGGACATCCCAAGGAACATGGGCAGGACATCCCAGAGCATGGGCAGGACATCCCAAGGAACATGGACAGGACATCCCAATGAACATGGGCAGGACATCCCAAGGAACATGGGCAGGACATCCCAAGGAACATGGGCAGGACATCCCAAGGAACATGGACAGGACATCCCAATGAACATGGGCAGGACATCCCAGAGCATGGGCAGGACATCCCCAGGAGCATGGGCAGGACATCCCAAGGACCATGGGCAGGACATCCCAAAGAACATGGACAGGACATCCCAAGGAACATGGACAGGACATCCCAAGGAACATGGACAGGACATCCCAAGGAACATGGGCAGGACATCCCAAGGAACATGGACAGGGCATCCCAGAGCATGGACAGGACATCCCAAGGAACATGGACAGGACACCCCAGGAGCATGGACAGGACATCCCAAGGAACATGGGCAGGACACCTCAGGAGCATGGACAGGACATCCCAAGGGACATGGACAGGACATCCCAAAGAGTAGAGCCAGGACACCCCGGGACACACATGACACCCTGAGACCATGACCAGGACACCCCATGGTGTGATTCCCTGCACTCACATAGTCATTGATGGGCAGGTCCTCCTCGGTGAGCTGCCGTGCGTGGCGCTTGGGCCCTGGCTGCGCATCCTTCTCCACCTCATGTTCGCTCCCCCCATCCAACCACCTCTGGTTGTCCACGAGCAGCTCAGGGTCTTCTTCTGCTGCCCCTTCGAGGTTGGCCAGCTCAGGAGCTGCAGGAAGAGCCCAAATGTTGCTGTCAACAAGCAGGGAGCAGAGGGACAAACGCAGCAGCAGGTATTAATGTGCCGAAATCTGGTGCTAAGGCACAAGAAAAGCCCGCCAGCAAACTAGCTGCACTCCATTGCCTCTTGCTGTCACCAAGCCTGGAAGGGCTGTGGGAGGTAATATGGTGAGAGGAAAGGGTAGAGAAGGCATGTCCTGTCCCCTCCCTGTGCTCGTGGGTGGTGGGTACCCATGGGTGGTGTTTGCATTATCATCATGCTGTGGGGAAGCACCTCCTCATGGTGCTGCTGCGGGGGGAACTTACAGAGCCCCAGCAAAGTGACATGATTTGGGGCAGATTAGGCCCAGCACCACCGTGACATTGATTTCCTTTGCTGAAACCCAACCGCAGATGGGGTCTGATGGTGGGGACTGAGGAGAAAGGGGCCAGCAGCCTCCCTCCCTGTGCAGTGGGGATCTCTGCTGCCCACTTGCTCCCAGGAGCATCAGTGGCTATGAGCTGAGTGGTACCCATGTGGGATGAGATGCTCCTCGACGGCTGCAGAGCAGAGGGAGGGTGCTTGAAACCAGCTCAGAATTGGGGTAGTGAGTGGGTAATTGCACTGGCACATCTCAGAGATCACAACCTCTGTGAGGGCTCTGTAATGGGCAGCCGGAGCTGCAACCCCGTTGTGTGATTTAGATGCAGACATCTGCTCGTGCTCAGGTGTTCCCGCAGTGATGAGCATTGAGGTGTTCCCATTTCCAGCAGCACTGGCTTCTTTACAGGTACAAAGGGTTTAGGGTTTAGTTTTGCCTTGTTATGAGAAAGGCAAGTGGCCGCTCTGCGAAGTGCAGGGCAGTGGGGAGCCAGCAGAGAGAAACTTCAGCTCCTGTTGTTGCACTGATCATGCTCTCCTGGTCATGGTTGACATCATGTTCATGTCTGAGTTGTACAATAAGCCCCTGGAAATGGGTTCCTGCCGCACTGGGGGACATGGTGGGTGATGGGGCTGGTCCCAGCGAGGGGGCTCCCATGTGCTTTGGATGGGGGATGTTTCCCTGTACCTGCTATGGGCGTGGGGTGGATCCAGTAGATGGTCACGTTTCTGCAGATGTCAAAGATCTTGGAGCTCTTGAGGAACTCCTTGTTCTGGATGGGCTTTTCCCCGGGCACCCAGACCACGGACTGCTCCAAGTACGTGGTCGTGATTTCTTCTCCCTGGAAGAAGAGCCACATTTCACCCCTGCATGGTGAGACACCCTGTGCTCCCCTCGGCTTACCCAGAGGCGCCTCTCCCATCCCAGAGAGCAGCTTGGCTTCATCTGCCTTGTGGTGCTCACCCAATGCACATGCAACGCCCTACTGTTCCCATCATGAGCCCCATCTCCCCTACCTGCTTTCAGCCACCACCCCCCTGCTCTCCTCTCCCTGTTCATCATGCTTCAACAGCCTTCTCCTGCGTGGTCCCCACCATCTGGAGGAGCCTTCTGGAGCGCCCCAGCTCATTTCAAACCCAAGATTAAGGCATCTCCCCTCTGCTTTTCTCTTACTATTTAATTTCTCTCTCCTTCTGCTGCTGATTTTGTGATCGAACGCTTTAATTTATTCCTCACAGAACTCCTTTGCGCGGCCATAGACTGTAATTTATAGCACATGTCTCTGCCCTTGCATTAGCCCACGGTGTGTTTTGGCAGGCGCTTAGGGAGGGAGATATATAAAGACTATTGAGCGGGTCTGCGCTGAGCTATCTGCCGAGGCCACTTGTGTGTGGTGGTGGTGGTAGCCCATAGAGCAAGCTGGCAAATGGCATCTCTTTGCTTTCCAGGAGGCATCTGGAGCTGTGTTTCTCTTCTGGAGCTTGTCCTTATGGTTTTGGGAAGTCTTAGGGAAGAGCCAACGCAACCTAAGTGCTGTGAGATTCTGTGGGGCCAGAGGGTTGGGCAGCATCAGTGGGGCAGAGCTAGGGGGATGCCACCCCCAGAACTTGAATCCCTTAGGATTCAGGTTGGAAAACCCCTCTTCCTTGTGCTCCTCACCTTGCTCTGGGTGCAAGTCCTATCCTGGCTCCCATTCCCTACCACAGGGCAGCATCCTCTGCCTCCTGCAGGGCATGGAGCTGGGTTTCTCTCCCTGTGTGGCTGGATTGGTCGCATCCTGCACTGCAGAGCATCATTAACATGACAAGGTCTGGGTCTTTGGAGCCTATGGTGAAAGCAGCCAGGCTGGAGAGATGCTGCCTGAAGGATATTTATCTGGCTGGGTTTTACATTGCAGCTCTCAACCCAGGGCAATGTTCAGCTGAAGCCAGGGAAATCGTCTCCCTTTTACAGTGGTAGCTGAAGAGATCCATGGGCATCTTATGGCATAATCAAAGAATCAGCATCTGGGAATCTGGGTCAGGATTCAGGGAATCGCTTCTGCCCACACTTGGATTCAAACACGTGTCCTGCTGGTGCTTCATCTTCAACGGCTTTCCTGGGGGGGCTCAGAGTGCTAACACCCTGCATCCCTCAAAGGGGGAGGTGGGGGGGCTGTGCCACCATAGTGAGCTTGGGGATGGGGACAAGTAAGGATGCTTTCGAGGCACTGAGCTGAGGATAGGCTGTCAGAGAGGGGTTAAAGCCGTAGAACCATAGAATCCCAGAGTGGTTTGTGTTGGAAGGGACCTCAAAGCTTACCCGGTTCCAGCCCCTGCCATGGGCACAGACACCTTTCACAACACCAATGTATGGATTCACACAGGACAGGGAGGCGTCCCCAGCCCCGTGCTTCCCACCTCCAGGGCTGCGCGCCAGGCACGCTCCCAAATCCCACTCCTTAAACGTGGCTGCTCTTTTAAATTCATTACTTCTGCCTCATTCTGCTTGAGAACACGAGGCTCAGTTCTGGGAGAAGCCAATCTGATTGACTTCTCAGTGCCTGCTAATCCTGAGCTGCCTTGCGACCTTTTGACTACAACAGGATTATTGTTCTTGATCTGCGGTATTGTGCTGAGAGGTTTCTGCCTGCCGGCAGCCTAATCCTGCCTCTTTCCACTTGTTTTTAGAAGCAATCCTCTGAAACAAGATCGTTTTATGAAGCGATCAGAACTCATTATTCCTTTCTTGCAGCATCATTGGAAGGCAGAAGCAGATGGGAGGGTGGTGGGGACGGTGCTGTGCTCCCAGTGCTGGGCACATGAGGGGGTTTCACTGGGAACACGAGGGTGTCCTGCTTTATGCACCTACCTCAAGCTCTGGGATCTTGGCCTCTGTCGTCTCAGGCAGGACTTTAGTCTGAGTTTTGATGAAGCATTTTTGAAGTCCCACAAAGAAGATGCCGGTTATTCCCTACAGCATCAGAACAAACAGCAAACAAGCAGTCAGGGCAAAGCAGGAGAAATAACCCTGTTGTATTGAGCGTGCATAGAATCATTGAATGGTTTGGGTTGGAAAGGACCTTAAGGTCATCCAGTTCCAACCCCTGCCACGGGCAGGGACCCCTTCCACTAGAGCAGCTTGCTCCAAGTCCCTGTGTCCAACCTGCCCTTGAACACTGCCAGGGATGGGGCAGCCACAGCTTCTCTGGGCACCCTGTGCCAGCGCCTCAGCACCCTCACATTAAGGAACTTCTTCCTTAGATCTAACCTGAACTTCCCCTGTTTCAGTTTGAGCCCATCACCCCTTGTCCTATTGCTACGGTCCCTGATGAAGAGTCCCTCTGCATCCCTGTAGGGGCAGCAGGTTGAGGGTTTTGTTGTGCTTTTCCCATTGATGTTCTTGTGCAAACCCCACTCAGCAGTGGTGCTAAGGTGCACAAAGAGGTTCTCCTAAGGGATTTGCACTTTATGGGTTGGGAGAATTGGTCTTTTTACAGATATTTGAAGGCAGACAGCAATAACATTTTCCTTTGCTCCCCTTCTCCTTATAACTCTCAGGAGCTGTGGTTATCACCAATAAAAACATGCAGAAGAGCATCTGACCGTTATGGGTATATGAACATCCAGCCCCCGGTTCCTGCCAGGCTATTAGCTTAAAGTTTTGCCATATGTCACCGCACAGGATATTTCCCTACACATTTCAATTAGGTTTCAGAGAGAGCCCTACAACATTGTCATGAGGGTTTAATGCTCTGCAGACAGAAAGATGCACAGGGCTCGGATAGATTGATGGTGATTGCGTTCCTTCGCAAGGGTAAATCCAATAACTGGGGCTTGCTTTTAGAGATGCATCTTGTTGGAACTGAACCACTCCACTATTAAATACCGGTGGAAGCTTATGTAGATACACATCTCTTTCCCTTTGAGAGCATCCCCAGGGATGCTGCATGTGGGTATTGCTCTCCCTGACACAGGGCTGGGGCTTGCTCCAGTGACCTGTGGTGTCCTAAAGGATCCCATTGGTCCTGCTGCATGGTCCCAAGGATAAACCCTGCTGCACTCACGTTTTTGAAGTCATGGATCTCCAGGATTTCCTCGCTGCCGTTCCCGCTGCTGAAGGTCTCTGTCCTGGCCAGTGGGTCGATCTCCATCACAATCTTCTTCTTCTCACCGTGGCTGAAGAACGTGTGTTCCATGTCATAAACCTGCGAGGGACAGAACCACACAGTGGTTGGCTCAGCCTGACCTGAATTCACCCACTGGCCAGTGGGTGAGCAGGATGGTTCTGGGTACCCTGCACCAGGGCAGCTCTGAGCCAGGATGGTAGCCTGGATAGTGAAAGGAGAAACAGCTCCCAGGCACCAGGGGTGGGAAGAAGGGCGGGATGGGGCCAGGCTGTGTGGGGACATGGATGTCAAACCTGGGAGATGATCATCTCACACTTGCACCAAGAGCTTGGCCATGGCTCAGCCTTTGCCGGCGCTTTCTGTGGCATGAGCCTGGGCATACATCCCAGGCTGGAGTGAAGTCCAGAGCCCAAGGGACCTCACTTTCTTGCTCCAACACTGCATCCCTGTCTCACTTGCTCCATCACTGCATCCCCAGCTCCCTTGCTCCATCCCTGTATCCCTGTCTTGCTTGCTCCATCACCACATCCCTGTCTCATTTGCTCCATCACTGCATCCCTGTCTCATTTGCTCCATCACTGCATCCCTGTCTCATTTGCTCCATCACTGCATCCCTGTCTCATTTGCTCCATCACTGCATCCCTGTCTCACTTGCTCCATCACTGCATCCCTGTCTCATTTGCTCCATCACTACATCCCCAGCTTGCTTGCTCCAGCACTGTAACCCCAGCTTGCTTGCTCCATCACTGCATCCCTGGCTCCCTTGCTCCATCTCTACATCCCCAGCTTGCTTGCTCCAGCACTGTAACCCCAGCTTGCTTGCTCCAGCACTGCATCCCTGGCTCCCTTGCTCCAGCACTGCATCCCCAGCTCCCTTGCTCCACCACCGTATCCCTAGCTTGCTTGCTCCAGCACTGTATCCCCAGCTCCCTTGCTCCATCACTGCATCCTTGGCTCCCTTGCTCCATCACTGCACTTTCCGTTTGTCCTGGAAAAGCCGAGGTAAATCCTCTCTCTGCCTGGAGGAGATGAGGGATTGCCTGCGGATCAAAGCCCTCCTCCAGGGCTGGTGAAGAGCTCTGGGGCGTAGCAGCCGGCTTCCCGTCAGCACTCATCCCTGCGGGAGCCGGGGGGAGCCGTGCCGGTGGAGCAGCCCTCTGCTGCTCTCAGGTGCTCACCGCACGCAGCCCGCCCCGCAGCGCTCCAGTCTCTGCGGATGCCTGACCCTTAAGGAATGAGCAGTGGCAGATGCTATTTGAAACACAAAAGTGATCCCGCTGGCACTGAGCCTCGGGGAGTCTCGCTTCCTAAATCTAATGGTGTCATGTGGAAGGAAAGGGCTTGTGCAGATCCCCTCCAAAGCCACAGGAGAGGGGGATAATGGAGGCACAGGGATGGGGATGCTCTATTAATCCCCTGGCAAAGCTGTGGAGCTGGTAAAGGAGCACTCTGAAACCCCAACCCAATCCCCCTTTCAGGGTCCCCTGGTTCTTGCACATCCCTCCCCGTGAGGGTGTTCAGAGGCTCTCATCTGTGCCTGCAGCATCAGCATCCCCTGTTTTGCAGCCTGTGTGCTGAACTGGCCATGCAGGTGGTAACTGCCAGGTACCTTTACCTCTGCTTAAAACTAGAAGAGCGATGAGCGCCTGGGCATCCATGAGCATCTCCTTTTAGTCAGCAGGAGGCTTTTCTAAAGATATATAGCCACAATGGATGTAATGGCATGGCAGAAAGAGCCTGCAGCCTAAAATGGCTGGAAACCTGTTGATTCTGCCTGACAAAGTGCACTCAGTGCCATAAATAACTTCCAGGGGTTAGGATCCTGGGTGGTACCTTATCTTCGAGTGCCTCTCCATCTATGAAGAATGACTTTTGCCATTGCAGAGGTCAGGTAACCCATTTGGACTTTGCTGGCTCATGATGCTCAGAGAGCTATGAGATGTTATAGGACTAAAGGTGACGCTTGCTGTGTTGGATGCTGCCAAGCAGAGGCCACCCCTCAGAGGAACAGGTCTTTAAAGCCTTTTTTCCACTCCCTGGTTTCATGAAGGGAGCTTGGAGGGGTTTTTGCTCTTCAAAGAGCTTGATTCCCCTTGGTTTAGAGTTCTGAGTGTTAGGAAGTTCCAGCCTCCTGAATCTGGCTTTTCCCACAGGATTGCCGGCCCAGCTCTCCAGCCCATGGACACCAATGATGTTGGACACCAGGAGCATCCCATGCAGCTCCACTGCAGGAACACCTTTGCTTCCTTAGGCCTTGTGAAGGGCTTCCAGAGATGCCACCAGGCTCCATCCTCCTCCGGTGCCCCCCAGTGAGGATGCTGGGGGCTGGAGCTATGAGGCTGAAGCAATGGCTCAATGGCCCAGAAAGAACCTCCCCTCCAGGGGTTAAGAGCTGGCACTCACCCTGCTCTTCGAGGAACAGTGGAGGCTTTATAGCGGTCTTGGCAGGAGCCCACCGGCACATATGGCTTTGATTGCTGCTTCTTTTCTTTTAGGAGGTATTTATTTCTATTTGCTGATAAAAAGACCAAGTTTCCAGCAAGCAGGGTGCTTCCTCTGCCCAGCAGGAGGGCAGCTTGGACGGGATGCTGTGGCTCCAGCATGGGAGGAGCGAGGAGATTCCATGTGGGAAAGGGGTCACTTTGTCTGTGCATGGGGATGCTGGAGAGCTGGCAAGACCCGCTGGTGCCAGGGTGCAAAGCAAGGCCTCCTCAGTGGGCATGGACACTCAAAGGAGGATGAGGAGCACTGAGCTGTTGGCGTCAGTGCTAATTCTATGATTCAAGGTTAAGTGATTTGCTTGGGGTACAGAAGGAAATAAAAGGCAGGATTGCCAAGACCCTGGGCAGAGATGTATGGGAGACGTGCAGCCCTGCTGCTGCCCCCGACACACTCGGCACTTAGAGCAGCGTCTGTCTGGGGAGCTGGGAATAAAGGAGCCCAATCCAGTTAGCAGGAACTCCTCCACAAGCTAATCCGTCTCAGCGTCCCCTCGCATTGCAGACACATTAAAGTAAGAAATACAGCCCATGACAATCCATCACGGCCGCGTCCTGGCTTTCTCTCCTCTTTATGCGGTGGCATAATGACTTTTCCACCAGTTTCTGGCAAGATAATTGAAATGAAATGGAAAATATTTTCTTACTTGTCATGAAATTTGCTGCCGGTGGAATAAGAGTAACTTTAACTCTTCATGGCATAGCTCCCATCCCCTCTAATTGTCAGAATGCGGTGGCAGAGAGAAATAAACCCCAGCCTGTACAAAGTAAAAGCTAGTTATGAATAATAAAGACATTTCTAAATGGCTCATGAATACTTGTGGTCTAAGGAAGTGCATCTTTGTGAAGTCGCCTGGGTTTTGGGGTGTAGTTAACAGTTTCGGTGGTTTGGGGATGGGGGAAGGCTCTGTCTGGGGAAGCAGCACTCTGTAATGCTGGATCAGAGAGTTGTTACTTACTTTTCTGGGCGCTGGGTTCCGCAGGTATTTGACACCAAAGAATATGAGGATAAGAGAGATGAACAGCACGCTGAAGAGCAGCCCGCAGACCTGGTACCTGGAGCAGGTCCTCTTCCGCCTCTTGGATGCTTCTGCCTAAGGAGTGACAAAGAGCGATGTTTGGTGCCGGTGACCCAAGGAGGGGCACGCACACACGGGTATCAGACACTGACAAGCTGCAGGGGTGCAGAGCAGCAAGGCGAGCCCTGAACTCACATCCAGAAAGCGGCAGTCCTCCGGGCTGTCCCGAGCCGTGCCTCCCATCGTCTCCTCCGTGTGCGAGCCCGCTCCGAGGTGGAGTCACAGCGGCTCTGCGCTGCACATGCAGCAGGGAGGGCCGGGTCCTGACGGTGCAGCAGCTTCCCCCGGCAGCTCCCGCAGCGCTGCCTGCTCGCACGCCATTCCCAAGCCTTTGGAGAGGAGCCTGCATGGAGCGGCGCGGTGCGGTGTCCATCGGCCATGGGCAGGGCACAGGGTTCTGTGCTGCTCCGGCCCAACGCTGCTGCTGCCTGTGCGCTGATGGATGGGCAAGGGCTCCTGGACACCCCTGAGCTGTGGGGATGCGGGCACTGCTGCTCTTGGGAGCTGCTCCCTTCCAATACAAACTAGTCTGTGATCCTATGATTCCATGATTCTATGATACTATGATTCCATGATTATATGATTACATGATCCAGGGGCACTTCTGCAGCCCAGGAGATGCCCGTGGGGTTCCTGCATGGCATGGGGACATGGCATGGCAGGGGAACATGTGTACATGGCCATGGTTGTGCATGGGTGGGCATGGGTGTGTGCGTGTGCATATGTATATATGGTGTGCATACACGTGCGTATGGGTGTGTTCATGCACATATGTGTGAGTGCATGAGTGTGCATATGTATGTATGGTGTGCATGCATATATGTATGGGTGTGTTCATGCACATATGTGTGGGTGCATGAGTGTGCATATGTATGTATGGTGTGCATGCATATATGTATGGGTGTGTTCATGTACATATGTGTGAGTGCATGAGTGTGCATATGTATGTATGGTGTGCATGCACAGATGTGTGAGTGCATGAGTGTGCATATGTATGTATGGTGTGCATGCACAGATGTGTGGGTGTGTACATGCACAGATGTGTGAGTGCATGAGTGTGCATATGTATGTATGGTGTGCATGCACAGATGTGTGGGTGTGTACATGCACAGATGTGTGAGTGCATGAGTGTGCATATGTATGTATGGTGTGCATGCACAGATGTGTGGGTGTGTACATGCACAGATGTGTGAGTGCATGAGTGTGCATATGTATGTATGGTGTGCATGCACAGATGTGTGGGTGTGTACATGCACATATGTGTGAGTGCATGAATGTGCATATGTATGTATGGCGTGCATGCACAGATGTGTGGGTGTGTACATGCACATATGGATGCATGGCTGTGCATGCACTCACTGCCAGCCCACAGCAATGTAGTATGAAGCCCGAGCTCTCCCCATGGAGTGCGTTCTGCCGCCCCATTGGCTTAGCCAGGAATTTCCTGACTAAGTTTTCTATTTGTCTCGACATTCCAGAGTTCCCATTTGTTGCAATCGCACCGTTTCTGCGTGGAAATGAACCCATCTGAAGGAAGACTCCCAGCAATCCAGCACAGAGTTTCTAGTCTGAACAGGATGAGGCTCCCTGGTGTCGAGGAGCTGGCACGGGCTGCTTTTCCAAGCTGTTCATCTAATATAAACCCGGAGTGCATCATGCACTCATTAAAACTGCACTGCTATAAAAGAAAACCCACATTGGGCTTGGCTCAGGGTGGGGAATAGAGAAATTGCTTTTAGTAGGTCCAGTGCTGGCTTTGCCATCTCCCCTTCCCTTAAGCCAGTGCCAGTTACTCCAGGATGTAAAACACACCAAGGAGGGGTTAGTGTAATGTTGGAGAGGCCAATAACAGAAGGGAACCATACTGAGGAGTGAAAGACAGCAGGTTATTTGGAGGAGAAACATCCCTCTTCAATGGAGAGCAGCAACCGCAGGCAGCCTTTGAAAGCACCCAAAAGGTTTGGGGAATCTAAATGCAGTAACCCTGTGCAGATATGGGCTGTGTGTCCTCACTTCCCAGCAGAAAGTTCCCCCTGGAAGCCTTTGTTATTCATTGGAAACTGAAGTATTGGGAAGTGCTTTCTTTCCCTGTCAAAATCAGGGTTTCAAAGGAAAACTTTGGAGCAGCTCAGTTGAAAGACAGCTGTGATGGTAGGAGAGGATTGCAGCTGTGCCACTAAGCAGGCACAACCGATCAGCAGAGCAGCCCATCTTCACAATGCCCCCACTGGGGGCACAGGGAACACTGCAAATACCACTCGTAAAGTAAATTAAGCATGATTGGTTTATTGCTGTTGTAAGGGAATGTCAAGGTTTTTAATGGCAATCACTGGAATGCCAGCAGGAGTCAGGCAGTGGAATCAGCTGGAAGGGGTGAGAACCTCCAGGCTGGGAGTTAATAAAACTCCATAAATACCATTCCAGAGCTTGGTGAGTAGTGGGGATGGAGTGATGGGGATGGAGTGGTGGGGATGGAGCATCAGGGGTCTCACCACTGGGATGGAGACCTCATCTTGCTGCAGCCTGCTGGGCACTGCTGGCCCAGGGGACGGGGAGCAATGGGGTTGAGCACACACAGTGCAGGCACACACAGCGCATGCATGTGCAGCCAGCCCCATGCGTCCTGACCCCCATGCAGGGAGCAGGATGGGACCCCTCCATAGAAACCATTATAAGTATCCAACCTTGAACCAGGGCAGCAAGTCACTGGGCAAACCAAGTAGACCTTCCCCTCAGCAGCTGAGCGCTGTGTGACAGCCGCTGGATCCCAACAGGGAGATGGATACTTGGGATGCAGAGAGGGACAGAAACCACAGGAGGTTGCCCAAAGAAGTGAATGCTCCATCCTTGACAGTGTTCAAGGCCTGGTTGGACGGGGTTTGGAGCAACTTGGTCTAGTATAAGGCATCTCTGCCCATGGCAGGGGGTTGGAACTGGATGATCTTAAGGTCCTTTCCAACCCAAACCATTCTATGAGTCTACAATGCTGCTCAGGAATGTCTTTTCCCCTCCATTTCCTAATCCTCTGTCTCAGCATTCAGGGTGTCAGATAAAGAAAAAAATAAAGGACTTTCCATGAAAAGACAACATTTTTTGAGGGGGGAAAAAACCCCCTTTAAGATGACAATCAGGTTCTCTGTATAAAAAGCAGTTCTGATGGAAATCTCCCATCAGTGCCAATGGAAAGGGAACAATCACTAATTTTCCTGGAAGCTAATGAGCGCCAGTGTATATGACAGGGGAGAATTTAATCTGATGCGAGCTGCGGAAGAGAAGCAATACTGATATTAACGTGTGACTAATTGATACCCAGAAGAACATTTGAAATGATTAAAAGCCATTTGATTTCTATACAGGGCAATAAGAGGCTCATTGGCGACGACTGGTGCATCCTTTCAGTTCTCTACACATCCTCAGTGTAGCTCGACTGCTGCATCAAGTCTCCGTGCCTGGAAGTGTGGTACCAACTGATTCCTCCTGGACAGCACAAGGGTTTGTACACGGTGTAAGGGTGAGAAGCCTGGAAGGAGTAAAATAGGTCCCCAAACCACTAAAAAGCAGGTTCCCAAAGCAATGGGGCTCAAGCAGCAGCCTCCAGCTGGAACCCCCTGGTGATTAATATGGTGCTCTTTGTTATAATGAAAAACCCATTAAGGTCAGCGGCAGCATCTCCGAGCAGCACTAAATTGGAACGATGGAGACAGTAAAGTTAAAAACGAGCCATAATATTAATGTGGATAGTGAATTAATTGGGCAATTCCATAGGTAGTAAGTAAATCATCTCATTTACTGTGGGACTCTGGCTGCAGAGTGCTGTGGTGGCAGTAATGGAGCCAGGGAAGCAACACTGAGCGTCAGCACTTGAAGGGACCATACTGGATCCATCCCTTTGCTTCTTCTCCTTTGGTGCTTCTGGGGGGAGTCTCAATAGGGAAATGCCTCTTGCTTTGCTCTTCTGGGTGCTCCAGCCCCAGAATGCATCGTCCAGGGCAAGGTGTCTGTCCCCTGGTCCTGAAGTCATGATCCAAAGCATCTGCACCTGGTCCTGCAGCACTGGTCCAAGGTACCTCTCCCTTAGTCCTCAGCTGTGGTTTAGTGTCCATTGTCTGGTCCCACAGTCACAGCCCAAGGTGTCTGTCCCTTAGGCCTCAGCCACAGTCCAAGGTGTCCATCCCCTCTCCTGCAGCCCTGCTCCAAGGTGTCTGTCCCATTTTGCTGTTGCACACAGGAAGGTCAGAGCAAGCTGGAGGTAGCTTTATGGAAGGGCTGTTCCCTGCTCCGGGTGGGTCTCTCAGGAATGGCTTCCTTGCCTTTGGGAGAGACGTACAGAACCATCACACAGCCCTTGGCCACCTCCTGCTCTTGTTGTGCCCTGGACTGGGACCTGCTGTGGGGACAGAGGGAGGGGATTTACACCAGGTGGATGCATTTGCACACACATCAGCAGGGCTGCCGGCTCCCTCCTCACTTCTAGCATCCCAGACAGCGCACAGAGAGAGGGACAAATCACACCTAAAAGGAAATTGCTCATTAGCCAGCGCCTGATTAGATGGAACCATTTCTGCTTCAAACCATCCCACTTTCTGTAACATTTGCCAGATGAGAGGATGCGTATCTCCTCTTATCAACCAGCCACATACGGCCTCAGCGAAGGGATGCTGCAGTAATTGGCCTATTCATCATTCATTGTTTATCTTAAGTTCACGTTGTCATAGGGAACTCCAGAGACATCCCTGATTGAAGTTAAGAAACTCATCATTATGATGGAACTGCTTGGGGAGCTGGGCTGGGGATGCACGTGGCCATGGCGATGCTGTGTAGCCAGAGCAGCTCGTTCTGAGCTGACAAAGCTTTTGGAGAGAACAGAAAGAGATGAATTCGTGGTGGCTGTTCTGATGGAGCCGCTCAGAAAGTTATTACCGGAGACACACACCTCTCCTTGTTCACAGCCCATGGAAACCTTGCTCCCGGGAGCTCAGGGGGGTGTCTGCCTTATTGGTGCTCTTGTGACTCCCTCGGCAACACAAGTTATTAACAGCACCAAGGAGCTTTATCCTAATGCTGGTTTCATCTTGATGAATGACAATTCCATGCCTCTGTTCTACCAGGTGAGTGCCCAGGTGTATTTCAGACACTTGACTTCCTCAGCAATGCTTGCCCATGCACAAGGTTTAGCTTGTCTATAGGGGATGCTGACATGATGCTTGATTTCCACCAGGCTTTGAATATCTATAATGCAAAGACCAAACCCATAATCCTGCATTACCATAAATCGCTTCTCCCATGAAAGAGCTACTTCCTACTGGAATGTAATGGGAAGCTATGTGTGTATTGGTGTCACACCGAAAAGCATTTCCTTAGGAATAGGTTAAGAAATGTTAAGGAATAGCTCCCAGCTGCTCTCAGAGAGAGGAAACCAAGGAGAGGATGACTTGGGGAGTGAAAGGTGTCTCCCTCTGCCCTGCAGTAACACAGGACAACACAGGACAGAGGCTGTGGCTGGGTTCCATGGCAGAAGATGGGTGCTCAGGGTGATGCGGGTGCTCCATTGGGAGCAATCCCAGCCTGCTCAAGTAGAAGCAGGTCATTCTGGGATGACTGTGCATGAGGCCAGCCTGGTTTCTCGAGGGAGTGCAGATGTGCTCAGGTATATGGGGACGTGTTGCAGGATGGATGCTCTGGGCTTCTCCAGCAGCAGCAATAAGAACACTGGTGCAGGAAGAGGGACCAGGTTCCCCTTCCATGGACTGAAAGGACCTATACAAGAATGCAGAGGGACTCTTCCTCAGGGACTGCAGCAATAGGACAAGGGGTGATGGGTTCAAACTGAAACAGGGGAAGTTCAGACTGGATATAAGGCAGAAGCTGTTCCCTGTGAGGGTGCTGAGGATTCTCCTCTCCGTCCCTCCGAGAGCAGGGGGAGGGCAAGAAAGGGGGGGGAAGTGAGCGAACGAATTGCCTGACTGGGTTTAAACCACGACAGGTGCCCAGAGAAGCTGTGGCTGCCCCATCCCTGGCAGTGTTCAAGGGCAGGTTGGACACAGGGGCTTGGAGCAAGCTGCTCTAGTGGAAGGTGTCCCTGCCCGTGGCACGGGTTGGAACTGGAGGAGCTTTAAGGTCCCTTCCAACCTAAACCAATCCGGGGTCCCATGATTCTCCCCTTGGTCATGAACTCAACTGTGGGAAGCCCACAGGGAAAAGACCACTTTTTGCTGCACGGTGCTGGGATTATATGAAGAGCATAACCGGTGTTATCACTGCTTAGTAACCCTAAACCATTTAGCATTAACACACTGAGCATTTCCCACTGAATCAGTTCAGTGTCACACGAGCGCCTGCTGAACTGAGCACGCAAGCTCCAGTTATCCTACTGTCAGCTGATACACGTATTTATGTTGTTTATTTACTAAAGACAGAGCTGAGATGGCTCTGATCAAGAAGGAACCCATTAAAGCGAGGAATCCGAACACAGTTCATTTGTCTTTGATTGTCATTGACTCTCCCGTTGACGGCCTTCGTGATTAATTGCGCTGTGATGCTGTGAGCATCGTTTTTCCTCTGAGACCACACGCATCCGCAGTGTCCCAGCGGTGGCAGGAGGAATACCCAGGTCTCCTGGGAGTGCTGAGGTTTTGCGGGAGATCCCGAGGCGCAGGAGATGGGGATTTGCCTGCTCTTTCCTCAGTGATGTCTCTGTGCTGTTTTCCCTGCACCCCGAGCTCTGCTCCTTCCTCTCTCCCAGCTCTAACACACAGAGCAAAGCTGTTCGCTGCCCCAGGGTCCTTTTGGGGAAAAAAAACAGCTATTTTAGAAATCAATAAAATAAATAAAATGAACCCAGTCAGCAGATTGCCCGTCTCTGGTCCTAAAAGGGAAAAGCAGTGGAAAGCTCTGCAGCTCTATGCATTTTGGGGTTCATCACTGGTGCTGGCTCCCCTCTGATGCTCACCAGTGGGGAGGACCTAGGGATACCCAGTTAGGGAACAGCAGTGCTTCCATCTGGGGCTCCAGGTGCTCTCCATGAGCAAAGGGGCTGGAGCTAATGCTGCCCAGCTGCCCCTGCCTTGGTGGGTATATAGGGGATGGGAAGGGAGCAGAGGGGTTTGGACTGTGATCCTGTGGTTCTTGGTGAGAAAAGGGAGGCTGCTGGGCTCCAGAAGTATAGGGATGAGGACCACAGAGCTATGGTTGTGCATATGAGAGCTGAGAAAGAGGCAGCAGCTGAGCTTGAGAGGCAGGTAAAGCAGCATGGAGACACCGCTGAAGAAGGACCAGGAAACTGGGGCATAGATGCAGAAGGTGGGCAGCAGAGCAGAGGATGCTCCAGTGCATGCAGGTAAGCTGTGGGGCTATGGCAAAGCTGTGTGCATCCCCCAGCCCCGCTCCTGCAGGGGAGCAGTGCTCGTGCCAGGCTGGGCTGTGTGCCTGCGCTGCGATGGGGCTAAGGGATGTCCTCCTCCTCCTCAGCCATGTGTGAGCACAGATGGGCTGCAATGGGGGTGTGCAGGGGAGATGACAAGCATATTGGTGCTGATGTACTGTGGCACACACCGAGCACCCGCCTGCGGGAGCGGGCTGGCTGCTGGGGCCATGGCACAGAGCTGCTGCTGTGCCACCGGAGCCCTTCCTGCCCGGCAGCCTTGGGATGCAGCCCTGGCCTGGGGCAAATAGGGGGGTCCTGGAGCTGCAGGGCTGTGCCTGGTGGCAGTGGGAGCTGCTGAGGGCTGTCCCACCGTGACTGCGACCCTGCTCAACCCCACATGACTCAGGCATTGCCCTTCTGGGAGGTACCAGAGTCCCAGTGCTCTGATCCTGGATGGGGCTCTCCCAGCCCAAAGCCTCCAACCTGGCCTTTGTGAGAGGGCTGGCTCGCACCCCATTGATGCTGGGGCACTGATGCTGTGGATGGCTCCCTTCTGTTTCCCACTGTCTCTGTCCTCTGAAGCTCAGCTCTTTCCTTGCCTGTGAGTCTTTGCCTTTGGGGTCATGATTGCACACCTTTGCATGGGGTGTTCCTGCCTTTGCCATCCCCCCGATGCACCATGGGGGTCTGTTTTAGTGTCACAATCCCAAAGAGCCCATCTGCAGCAGGCTGAGCCTTTGGAGCAGTCTGAGCATGCAGAAAGCATCTGCATGACCTCCTTTCAGGTGACACCTTATTTTCTCCTCTCTCCTTCCCTTCTGCTCTTACCATTAAGGTCTGAAGCTCCATCTCTTCCTCTTTCCCTATTACTCCGCTCTCCCTTTGCTATTCCTTGCAGGGATCTCTTTTTTCTCCCTCCCTGCCAAGGTGCTTCCCTTCTGTTGGGTTTTCCTCTCCTCTTTTGCTTTGTTCCTGCATTCCCTCCTGGTTTCTCCCACTTCCTCTGTCCTCTTCACCTCTCTGACACCATCCTCCCCTCCCACTGCAGCCCCAGCATCTCCCTGCTCCCTCTCGGCTCTGTGCAGGCAATGGGGCTGGACCCCTCCATCCCATTGCTGGCCATGGGGTCTTTTCTTGGCGAGGTGTTGGCTGGCAAGTGGAAAACCCCAGGGGAATGAGCTCAACTTGGCTGTCACCTGCAGTGATTGGTTTCTGCCTCTCTCGCAGGGTGTTGTGTCCTGTGAGCAAGCGGCTGTTGGGGGAAGCACATTTTTCTTGCTCACTGGGAGTTCCTGCTTGTTGTTTTTATAAATCAGTATTTATTGGCCTAATTATTGCAGATGCAGGGCCCGATAAAGGTGACTGTGATTGCAATATCTGATAATGAATTTCATAACAAACCTGCTGAGCCTGAAAGCTGCCAGCAGGAAAGGCATTATGTCAGGTTAATGACAGCGAGGAGAAACCTCCCCACCAAGCTGCTTTCTCCCATCTCCAAAGCATGAAGGGCCTCTGATGGAGGCTGCTGGAGCACCTCAGGCCAGTCCAGTGCTGCACCCCAATGCGTCTGGGGCTTCTCCATTGCTTTCCCTTGATGGGAGATGCTTTGGAGGATGGAGAGTTGTGAGGAGGCTCAGGTCCTGCCAGGGTCAGGCAATAGGTGTGCAGCAGCACCCAGAGGTGCTCATGTCTCTGCTCCCACTTCCTTCCCAACTTAATCCCACTATGTGAAAGCCAAATGTGAGGCATAGGGAAAGTGGCTCAAATCCACTGCTGTAAATGGATTAATTTAGTAAGTCAGTGGAGGGAAAGGCTTTCCAATAGTGATGCTGGTGCCTGCTCTCACCTCCTGGCCCTATGTGTGCCCCCTGAATTTCCTCTGCCTGTTCCCCACCATGCATGGGCTGCCCTGGGTCAGTCCTGCCCATAGGGCACACTGAGATGGAGCAGGTCAGCAGTGGTTGTGCTGTGGGAAGTGATGCTGCTCCTGCAGGATGCTCGTGTTGGAGGTTTATAGGTGCAGAGACAGTGATACTGCGGCCACAGGGCATCAAGTGGTGTGGGCCCATCTGCTGCTCAAGTAAGGATGGAGAACTTGTGCTGGTGTGCAATCCTTGCCCTCTGCTCCAAATGCTGCCTGGTCATGGGGGCTCCCAGCTCTTGCCTTGTCTTGGTCCTTCTCAGTGCTTGTGATGGTCCTGGTCAGGTCAGAGTGCCTGTGGGTCTACTCCCTGTGAAAGGCTCTTCCCAGAGTTTGGACCTGATCTGCAGGTCAGGGTGCAATGGGCTTTCAGTCAATGCGTGGCTCTGCTGAGCACAGGTGTGTGCTGCTCCGTGTTCCTCTGATCCAAGAGCCAGCTCTGTCCCACTGCAGAAACTGGGGTGATTTCCTAGAGCTTGATCAGACCCAGAGCATGGCTTCACATCACTGAAACCTGGGCTTGGAGATTTTGCTTTAGTTCCCTCACCAGCACCAGGAGTAAGTGTGAAAGGGAAGGAATAAAGACCAGAAGAGAATATTTTCTTTTCAATAATGCAGAGAAGCACAGGCAGGAGGATGTACAAATGTGATTTACTCCTTTGCCCCTGTTATTGCTGCTGATGGCTGCCGTACCCCAGCTGTATCTCAGGGGGCCAGGGGAATTGCTTGCCCTATGTAATGTGCGGATGCCTGTGTTGAGCCTTCTCTCCCCAACCACCAGCAAAGGGCTGGAGCTGCTTGCTTTGTACCTTTAATATTTGGTTGGCAGCTGCTGTGTTTGATGCTGCTCAATGTGGGAGCAAATTGGATTAACTGAAACGTATTCACTGGGATAAGCAGGGGAAAAGCCCTGCTTGTGTGCAGGGCTGTGTGCAGGGACTGGTGCCTGTGGAAGGTGGTTGGGCTCCTGGGGCAGGAAAAGCTCAGACCCTGGACTTGCTCTGAGGATGGGGTGGGAAAGGGATATTGGGGGGCCACGGTCCCATCACCATCAGCTCTTTGCAGCAGGATCTTGCTGTTGACAGTGTCAATAGTGATTTATTGGTGTTATGAGCCATGCACATGAGGATGCTCATCTACAGCAGATGAAGCTTTCAGTAGTACAGTCAATAACAGGAGGACATGGATACCTTGGGAAAACTTGCAGAGGAATTTGGGAGATGTGTCTGGATAACTGAGTGCCAAGCACTGCATTCATCCTACTGCAAACAGAGAGCTGTGGTTTGGTTGTCTCTGCACCTACAAATGACCCTCCCTTGCCCAGGAGGGGACCAGGGCACAGGAGAGATGCAGGCAGAAGGCTGGTGTCAGTGCCCCCCCCCTGCCTGATGCTCAGCAAGCTGCCAGGGCTATATCCTGCCCTGCTCAGCCCACAGAACACTGTTATTTCATTACTCTCATGTCATTTCCTCCTGGCTGATCCTGTTGTCATATTGCAGAAATAACTTCCCGCTGTTCCCTAAGGAGGAGCAGGCTTGGGAGGCCAGGACAGCCCTCCTCTCTTCCCTGCTTGTCCCTAAGACTGCCATAAGGTTTGTGAAGCCTTTGATTCCTTCTAACTCTTAGCATCAGGGATGCATTAAAAGCAGCTCATGCAAATAACACCAACCAGTTGCTATCATCATCAAACCCTCCAAAGTCTAGTGGCAACTCAGCAAGGTCAGGATGAGGCCATGTCCCCATCCCAGACACCAAAATTGGCCACAGTGGCATTGTGGATCATTCCCCATTCCCTTTGAGTACCCAGCTTCTGTGGATGCTTGGCTTCCTTCTCCTGCTTGTGCCATCCCAGTGTCCTGGTCCCTCTGGCTCTCATTCTGGCTGGAGCATTCCTGGGGTGCTGTTGTGGAGCCTCATTAGCCATGGTTAAATGAGGAGTCAGGTGAATTCCAGCTCCAATGCCTGAAATACTGTTTCAATGCATAATATATGTCCGGGGGTAAATCTCTGCTTCTATTTAACCGTGGGGAAGAGCGTGCTGCTGAATGTTAAGTACGTTATCCCAGGAAACAAAGACTGTGCTGAGTGAATGACATGGCTAATGAATTAGTGAGGGGAGCAGGGCTGGCATCTCCCCTGCCTCGTGCTCCATTCACTGCACTGGGGGGGGGGTATTCCCAAGTGTAGGAGTGACAAATTACATGATCAATATGGACACTGATCCATGGTCTAATCTTGCTTAGCCCTGGTAAGCCCAAGATTGATCCAGATCTAATCTTGCTTATCCTGGACAAACCTGGGAGCAGATCCAGAGCCTAAGGTAATGCATCCTATGCAAATCCAGAACCGCCCTATTGATTTGCTGGTGTTGTCACCCTGCTTTCACCTTGCTGCAGAGGGCTTTATCTGCCCCTTGGTGTGCAATGCAATCAGGGCAGTCATCCTGATGGATTGGTGGCAGGGAGTGCCTGGCATCCCTGGCTGCAGGGCTGTGATTCCCTGCTCCTGTGGGGCTTCCTATGTAAGAGGGAGGCAGTTAAACACTGGCTGGGAATCAAGGAACCCTCCATTTGAGTCTCACCTGAGCAGTGAGAGCTCTCCTCGCTGTCTGAGGTGGTCAGGGAGCCATGTATCCCTATGGAAGGTGCAACCTAGATGAGGCTCTGCTCCCACCTCAAGAGCCCCTTGGTCTCCTTGCATGCTCTGGAGGTCTCCTGACCCTCCAGCTGTGGCTGCAGCGAGCAGAAGGGCTGTAACATCCCATGGTCCCCATTCTTTGCTGCATCTTTGCCCTGCAGAACCTCATCCTTGCAGCCAGCATCAATGGGCTCCAGTGAGTCAGGGGGCTCCTGCAAGGCCTTCCTGCAACACTGATAGCATCTCAGAGTAAAAAGGCCATGTGCTATTTAATGTCTAAAGGAATTGGATGGAGAGATATGAAGGTCCTGCACTCTGTGCCCTGGGCTCCTGGCTTCTGCACTGGGATGCAAACAGGTTGCTGTGTTTAAAGGGGGGATGTGTTCCAGCACCTCGAGGTGAGGGGCTCTCGCCCATCCTGCAGCATTCCCAGCTCCATGCAGGTGAGTTGTCAGAGCTTAAGTGCTGGGGGACTGAATCCTGCAGGCTTGGTGCCAGCTACATCTGTGCCTGCAGCCTGGCCCCGTGTTCTGCATTGCTTGGAGCTGGGAAGTGCTTTAGCAGTGTCAATACAACCCAGAAGGTTCTCAAACACTCCAAAAGCATTCCCTGAGAAAATAAGCTGCTTCCTCCCTGAACGGGAAATCATTCCAGATCCATCCCAATGTGCTTCTCTCATCAAAGGGGCCACTTTGTGCTTCTGAATCCAAGGGGAGGGGATGGGAATAAAACAAGGCTCTTGCTTGCGAAGTGCATCTCCCATGGCTGAATCCATCTGTGTTTCTCCTTTGGCGTGTGCAGGAGGGATCTTCCCACTGCAGCTGGGCACTTCACAGGCTCTGTGTGGTGCACGGGGAGGCCGATGGGGCTGGAGCAGCCCAGGTTTCTATGGCATCGTGCACGGCAGCTTTACTGCTCGGCTTCTCCAAGTTGATGGGGAGAAATTGCTTTTGTCAAGTCTAATTTCAGCTGAGCAGAGCAGGATAAACAAAGGGAGGTGTGGGCAAAGCAGATGGTTTGTCACAGAGCACGGAGCAGGCAGGAAGGCTGCGCAGCTTTTTATAGTGTGTGATGGCCTTTCCTTGCATCGAGCTATCCATCACTGTGCAATTCCCAGAATAAACCCGCCTTGTGCGATGTACGTGAAATAGCCAAATGTTACAGCGGGATGTTCGGTCCACACAGTGGTTGGGAGCATCTGCACAGCAGCTTCCTGCTTGGATCCTTGTTTGGAACCCCCTGTAGTGGCTGCTCATCCCAGGGACCCCACTGTGCTCCAGGTGGGACTTTCCTCTGCAGGCTGGTGGATGTGGCAGTGTCAGTGATGCTCCTTCTTGGCGTTATCAGGATTAACAAGGGGTTTGATCTCACCCCATGGTTCTCCCATCTGATCACACTCGGACCTCCTGATCCAGGTCAGGGATGTGGCTGAAGAAGCAGGGAAAGGAGGCATCTCGTGGCCCTGCTCTGCTTGGTGGTCTGGTGTGCATGGAGCTTTGTTATCTGTGCAGATACTGATGAGAGCATGGAGAAGCAGTGCTTGGTACCCACAGAGACCTCCCACCCCATTGTCTACCCTGCCTGAGGTGCTCCTACCACATGTTGTAGTGATGGGGTTTCCTCTCATGCCCTCCACTACATGATAAGGAGACTTCAGTGCCATCAGCCTGGTCCTGTTGCTGCTGTGGGTACAGGCAGGAGGCTGCCTGTGTCCAAGTGCCTCTGACCCCACTGCTGTGGCCCCGTGTCGGATCCAGCTGGGCAGCTGTGCTCTTTCCCAGCGCTGGTGCTCTGGGGGCACGGCCCAGATTGCTGGGTGTTTGTTTCAATAAGAACGATGCTGGTGTTTGCAAACCCTTTTAAATTGCTCTCAGCAAGTGCTTGTGTCTGGAGCAGAGTCTGCTCGCAGCAAAGCCTGCAGGAAGAGGAGGTCTGGGGGGTGGTGGTAGGAGCCTGAATCCTTGCCAGGTTTCCATCCTGCAGAGCGTGTCGGGGCCGGAGCAGGGATGTGCTGTGGCTGCTCCCTGCCTGCCTTTTTACAGCAGTCCCTGCTCCGCAACATCCTCATTAGAGCATCCCTGTGCAATTCCATATAATGAGCAAATATGAAGGAAATCAAAGTATGTTTGAACTCTGTTAATGAATAAAAAGAGGGCTAAATGCCTCCAATAACCTGTTTGCTGCGAATCTGCGCAACGCCTAAACCAGATCTGTCTGTATCAGCTCATGATGTGCAGGTGCCCGAAGCCATGGCAATCTCAGTGCCCGCATGATAGCAACAGCCAGACCCGGTGGGCACACGGTGGTGGCTGTGATTGCTGGAGATAAGTGACTTATTCAGACCTGAGTGTGCTTCATTGCCATGCGGGGCAGGAGCATCCCCTTGGGGAGCGCAGCAGGGGACAGCCCCCTGTGCTGCTGGCCTTGATAGCAGCGAGGAAAAGCAAGATATGCTTCCAGGCTTGGAGGGAAACGGAGTTCAAAGGAGGCTCCCAGGGGGGAACTGGCTCACATTAAAGACAACGGTCCCTGTGGCATTTACGTGCATTGCAAGAGGACTCTTTGGTGTTTATTTCCCTTTATGTGTTGCTCACAGGAGGCTGAGCAGTGGTGTTGCTGGGTATATGGGGTCCTCCATCCCAATGCGGGGTGAGCCTCTATTCCTGGCCGTGCAAGCAGCCACAAGCCTTGCTTGGGAAGGCAGGCAGGATTCCAAGGAGCTCTGTTTTCATTCTTCAGGCCTGGAAACCTCATCTTGGTCATGGGCTGGGTGTCCTGGCCTTCCCCTATGGGCAGACAGACACAGAGGGACAGCTGACCTGGCTCTGTGGTGCATCCTCCCAGCGCAACGCAGGTTTTGGGATGCCCTGTGTGGGTGATGGCTCCCATCAGTGGCTTCCTCCATCAGGACCCTCAGTGTCACCCAGTGCCAGCCCTGGCTCCGCAGCTGATTGCTTGCTAATTAAAGTAAATCATTGACAGATATTAAGTCTCTGCCGGGGGGGGGACTATTTTCACATAGTGCACCACACAAGTGCTGCTTCCCCCTTTGAACATGGTCATGTTAATGGGAATGATGGTTTATTCCCTGGCTGCAGGAGTGCTCGGTGCCCTGAGTCACTGCCACACCTCACCTGCATGAGGGTCCTGGGCTGGATGGAAAACCAGGGAGGGGATGTTCCAAGAGGGCATGTACATGGAGATGTGCTATGGGCAACTGCTTTCTCTAGCATCCCAGTGCCTTCCCCATTGGTCCCAAGCCTGGATCCCTGGTCCCAGTTCTGCATGGTGTCTGGGTGCCTATTCTTTGACCGAAGCAAGGGGGATGGCACTGAGGTGTCCCACCATTGCAAAGCTGGCTTTGCCGCTCCTCAGCGGGTCGCACGTTGGAGCAGGTCTCAAAAGGCAGCTCCTGTGTCAGGTAGGATGCTGTGTGCCCCCCTTGCTTTAGGGGTCACCCATGATGGTGGGAACATGAAGCTTCCAAAGATGCCCTCTAATAGACCAGTCCTGTTTACATCACCTGTAAACAAGATGAACACAAAACAGATTCATCTTTCACTGTTAATAGATGAAAATGATAGATGATCACAAAATAGCAGCTTAAAGAATACAGGTTTGGCTGAGGTAAACCACTTTTTCCTCTATTTCTTTCCATTAGGCACTGACCATTTACCCCAGGCCGAGCTCTGTCCTCATGGAACACCAGAGCTGGCTGGAGAGCAGCAGGCTGGGTGAGACAGCTCTCCTGATGGACTGAGGTGAGATGAAGTGGGCAAACCAAAGGGACTGTGAGATGGAGGATGCAGCCTGTCATGTTACCTCCAGTTCTTTTAAAGAATAATACTAATAGGGCAGGAAGCTATTCCTACCTGATCTGTGGTCTTCTCTTGCTCCAGGACAGGATTTGGCCTGCAGAGCAGAGAGGGGGGTTTGCAGCATTGGCAACAACATGCTGTGATTCAAGAGCGATCCTTTAAACAAGGTTATTACTCACTTTACCAGGCACAGCTATCCATTATGGTTAATAGAACACCACATAAGTGATTCTCAGCCCGATCCAAACAATATATCTTGCGGCCCAGCTGGACTCGCTTTTATTCTTACCTCTCACTGGAGGATGTGTTGGCATCAGCAGACATGGAGATGCTGGTACCTGATAGTGTGGACAGCCAAGATCTGCTGCTTTCCAAGGGGATGAGTGATGTGAGCTGTTGGATGGGAAGCAGTTGCCACCTCCCTGCCATGTCCTTCTCCGAAGGACAGGATCCATGTTGGCCATGGTGCAGTGGAAAGAAGCCTGTCTGGGTTGCCTGTACTCGCTCCATAACAAGAGGGTGGCCTCTCGATAGACTATACTTCATGCTTTCCATCACTATAGCTGCTGTTTTGGCTGCATGAAGGGTGATGTCTCACTGCCCTGGAGCAGATGAGGTTTGCAGGCTGGGGACGGGGAGAAGGACCAGCTTGGGCTGCAAGAGGAAGGCTTTGTCCTGACAATCCTGCTGGAAATGAAGTCCAGGGATTTGCTGTGGAGATGCGCCTGATGCAAGGCTGGTGACAGGGCTCCCTTCAGGACAGGAATCAGTAATCAGCCATCCTGCCTGCACACTGTCCCTGTATCCAGCACTGTGCCTGTCCTGCAAGGCTCTGGGAGCAGCTCAAGTAGCACCAGGGCAGCAGCAGGGGCCATTCCCTGCCAGGATGTGATTATCCCACAAACAAGGAGCTTGTGGTACCCACCTGCACTAGAGCAGCCAGCACTGGCTCTGGGCATGCTGGTGGCTGGCTGGGGGCTCTGCTCCATGCCAGCCATCTGGAATCTTCATGAGACACCATGTTTGGTTATCACCATGACACAACAAATCCTAGCAGAGTATTAATCACTGCTTGGAACAGCATCCACCCTAGGTTTAGTTATGGTAAGCTACGCCAGGCCTTGTCTGACAGTGTGTAGCCATCTGAAGAGCCCAGATTCCAGGCATTTTCCAAGCTTTTTCTCCCTTCTCTCATAGGCAATGTGTGCCATTCACATCTCAGAGTGCTCTGCTGGAACACCACCCATAGCCTGGTTATGCTGTAGTGTGGGAACATCAGATGGTGCAGGTGAGGTGCCCTCATGTGTGAGTCTCGTTTTGGTGGGTGAAAATGGTCAATGTGGTGATGCTGGGGGGGGAGATGGGGCTTTGATGGGTGAATTCTGTGACTTCCCTACATCTGCATTCAGAGAAGGGAGTGATGGGGAGGGGCATGTCGGGATCAGTGCCTGGACTGCTGGCTGCTGGTGTGGGATACAGGCAGCATCAGAAACACCAAACTGCAGGATGCTGCTAACCAGTATCAGTGAGGATCCAGAGCCAGTATCCCAAATGCAAGCACCTTGGTGGGATGTGGGATGGAGCTGGCGCCTGGCCCTGTGGCTGCTGCACATCTGCATCGGCTGCTCCGGATAAGGAATGCTCCTGGAATCTCCCAGCTGGTGCTCAGGGCTGCAGCAAGAGCTGTATATCCCAGGAATGCTCTCTCCTGTCTGCTGCCTGCTGGGCAGGAGCCCTGTGGCTCTGGTGGAAGAGCAAGTGAATGCTTAGGAGCTGTGAGCTCTCTGCCAGGGCCAGCTATCTAATCCCTGCTGGAAGAGGGAAGCATGGCAGTCTCTTTCCCACCCCAGGGGGTGGGATGTAGGAATAAAGAGGGAGAAAAGTAGAAAGGAGAATGTAGAACAAGTGATTTAATTGTGTTTGTGACTGGTTTGAAGGTGGAATGGATGGTGCTGGAGCACTGAGCAGGTTGCTGGGCTCTATTTGTAGCCACTCAGAGCAGGCACACTGCTCTATTTCTCTAAATCACTGCCCTTTCTCTCTTGTCTCTATTCCCCTGACCTTCGCTATCTGTTTGCCCATGCAAGAACCCAGAGGCTGAATTAAGATGGGCTATTTGTAAGCAGGGCAGGAAGAGCAGAGATTCTCCCATCACATAGGATAACCTTTGCCAGCAGGGAAAGGGGCTTCTGCAGAGCAAAGTTTGGTTGCCTCTAACTCATCCATGTCATTGCTGTGATGTAAACCCTGTCTGTTCCTCACCCGTGTGGGTACCAGCACGCATGGTTTGTAAAGGCAGGCAGGCATCCAAGCCCCCATCCCAAACATCCACCACACAACTGTGCCCTGAGCTGCATTGCAGCGCTCCCCTGCTCCGGCACGCTCCAATGGCACAGATTGCAATTGCCTTGTGCTTCCTTGTCTGCTCTCCCTCTTCTCTCCTCCTCGCTTTTAATCTTTGCTTAACTTGTTGTGCAGGCAATTGCGTGGCATTTAGTGCGTGGTGATGGGTGTTTGGGGCCTGTGCTGGAAATACGGCTCATTATCTGGAGTGGATAATATTAAGCACTTTTCTCTGTTGGCCATTTGATCACAAGGTTATCCTGGTTGAAGGGTTTATGTGCTGGAATTGCTTGCAAGGGAAATATTGAGCCGGCATGGCTGGAACTTGTGTCTCCCCACAGGCTGCTAGTGCAGGTGTGCTGTGGCGATGGCGGAGCATCCCGGAGCGGGGCCAGCAGCTCTGTTCAGACCCTCAGGTCACCTTTTCTTGTGAAGGATGGGATTAAATCAACTGAGCTGCATGGTTCTTATTGATGTGACCCTGCAGCAGGCCATGGGATGGCTGTCGGTCACCTCTGAGGGTGCTGTTTGGTGCTGGATGCTGACCTGGGTGGTGATGAGGGCTCAGTAGTGCGCCTGGTGCTCACTCTATCCCCTGTCCCAATGGGGATACTTGTTACCCTGCTCCATCCTGGCCTCTCAGCTGATGCAGCACCAGAGATGCTGCTTCTGGCATTAACATCTCCTAATGTGCCCTGTGGGAAATGGCCTGAGAGCCATCAAGTAGCCACTGGGTAGTTGTGGGACATGGGCCAGCGAAATGTGGGAGAGGCTGCAACACCTATTACAGCCCCTTGAATCATGCAGTGTGTTTTACTTTGCACTTTAATAGACCATATTAATGCACTGGCACATGGTGCCCAGGGAAGCTGTGGCTGCCCCATCCCTGGGCCAGGTTGGACAGGGCTTGGAACAACCTGCTGTAGTGGAAGGTGTTGGGGTATGAACTGGATGAGCTTCAAGGTCCTTTCCAACACAAACCAGGCTGGAATTCCATGGTCTATCCTGATTGTCTTACCCTTAACTCTGCCCAGTGCAGCCCAGCTCCCTGCTGCACCCTGTGCTGCCTTCCTTCCCATGTGATGAGCCTGCCAGGCTCCATTGGTACCTCCAGAAAGCACCATCCTATTAGTGCTGCTTCTCCCCACTCTTTGCTTCCAGGCAGGCTGTGCACATCAGGAGTGGCTCCAGCAGGTTTCCTCTGGACCAGCACCAGTGTGGGAGCAGAGAACCAGCTCTGCACCTGCCACTGCTTTAATACAGGCTGTAAATCAGATTATAACTGCCTGTCTGGCTCTGCATTGTGGACTCCGTGATTATTCAGCATTATGTAATCTCTGATAAAAGATGCTGCATCAGTAAAAGTGAATTAAACTATTGAGTGATAGGAGCTTATCGAATCGCTTGGAGTGATGCTGTCCTCCCTTTGGCTCTTTAACCTCTGCTGTGGCAGGAGCATGCCGGGCGCTGCCCTTGCTAACAGCCAGAGAACCCTGCTGACTGGGGTGGAATTGCTGCACTACAAATAAAGTTCCATCTCAGCTGTGAAAGACAGGGGTTTTGTAGTCTAAGGACTCAATATTTTATAGCAGTGGTCCCTTATCTGCATCGTGTGCAAGCAGAGTTACACAGGGATGTCTGCGAGGCGAGCGGATGCTCGATAAAGCTTGGCTCTTGGAGTGCTGATGGGCAGGGACTGCCTTCATTCCCAAACCTCTTGGGGGTGGACATGCATTGAATTCCCACATTAGGAGAGGGGGGAAAAAAGCATGCTTAGTTCTAAGCTGAGCATTTTGTCTTATTCTCCAGACACCCCCATACAAACAATATTGTCTTTTCTCTCCTTTTCAGGCCTTCTCTTTCTCCACGCGCAGCAGCTGGCTGATGGCTGAGGGATTTTGCTGTGTGTTTTCCTATTGCTTCATTTTCTTTCTCTGTGCTACGGGGTTTTATGTTTTCTTTCTGCTTTGCTGTGATATTAGAAACATTGCTAGGGGAAAGCAGAAAAAAGCAGCACAAGCCTAAACTGTAACTCCTGACACCCAGGTGCTTTGAAAAGCTTTCAAGTTTTGCAGAACTGGATAAGCAAAGAAAGGAGGGGTGGGGGGAATAAACCTACATCATTTATTTGACTTCACCCAGTAGCTGAAAGGGAAAGGTGCCGGGAAAGGGGGAAAAACAACACTTCAGAAATGTGAAATTAAAAGAAAGGCTCTGAAAAATTAAAAAGATAAAGGTGGTCTTTGATGTTTAACACAAAATCTTCAGCTTTAGACCTATTTTGTGCATGTGTGTTGGAGCAATGGGGTGCTGGGGGAGATGGGTCCCCATTGCTGCAGTAGTGATGAGGATGGATGGCTGGGGCAGGGCATCAGGAAGCCTTTGCTATGGAGAGAGGCAGGGTGGGTGTTGAGCCCCAGACCCCACCAGCCTCTGCAGCAGCATGGAAGATGCAGGCAGGGGATGAGACGGATGAGAGCATCGCGCTGCCCGGTCTGCAGTGTCATCCCCTGCTTGTCCTTCTCTCTCACCCCCTGCACAGGGGATGTTGAATAAAAAACCTCAGGCTTGACAGCCTGCTGATACCATAGTTTTAAATATACATGTTTGAGATCCTGAGATTTACTTTCTGACAGGTACAAGGGAGACAGCTCTGAGTGCTGGGCTGGAAAGTCGTTCGCATTAGCACTCAAACAAAGGGCTGCAAGCTGCACCACTTGCTTTTAATTAAAAGCTTTCCTTATTTTACAGCGTGGGCAGAGCCAGTATCTTCATTACACGCTTCCTGTACCCATCAGTGAGCCGGGTGAGTGACAGGTCACAGCGCTGCTCCCTCCAGACCCGCATCCTGATGTTGAGGGCAGCACACCGGTACCAAGGGGGATGATGCAGCTCCCCAGTGACCATGGACATGGGGACCACATTGCCAGCACCTCCCTGCCCATGCCCTCTGGGCATTGACAGGCACATCACAACAGGAAAGTCAGGCTTTGGATAAACTAATTGTGTTGCAAGGAGTGGAGCGAAGTGTTTAGGTTTCAGAGCCAATGTGTGGCATCTTTATTAATGTGCCTACTTGAGTTCTCTGGGACGCGATGTTTTCTCCTCGCCCTGGCTATCCATCTGAACTGATAATAGGACTATTAATCCATTTTGTTGACAGCCCTCGCAGACCTCCAGTGAGGCAGGAGACAGGGAGGGGTGGGCATGCAATCGATGCCTGGTCTATTCTGAAGGGATCCTGCCACAGCCTCTGGCAAGCTGAGTGTTAGCTGAGGGTGAAAGGACGGAGAGTTAGCCAAGGTTATAGGTGCTGTGCAGCCTGGCTTCTTCTTGGTCACCTGGAGACCATCTGCAGAAGGCCATTGAGATACAAGTTCTAGTTCATTTAGATGATCTTTAAGGTTCCTTCCAACCCAAACTATTCTCTACAGAAGCCAAACCTGCAGGGGACCCTGTGCTTCAGGGATACTGACACAGGGGTTATACACCATGGACCCACTCAGAACCCTTGTACCAGTCACTTAATCCCCCTCCATACCTCTATGGAGATGAAGTGTTTCTGATTTCAGGTCCTTTTCAAGCTACACATGGCCTGGCACAGCATCCATCGGGCACAGCATCCATTGTGCCAGTGGTTCCCTTTACAGCAGCAGAAATAGGTATTTGGAAAGGAATACAAAATGCAGGTCTGTGATACAGAAAGACAAATTCCAGTGGAAGAAGCCCTGGAAAAGGAGGTGCATCCCTGCCCAGCTCTCGCTCCTCTGCTCATCCACTGCCAGGGGCTGATCCCTTTCTATTCAGCCTGATCCTGTCTGGTTTCAACTATCTGCAGCCACAGAACTCTTTCCCTCCAGGGAACCACATCGCAATCCCTGTCGGCAGAGGGGATTTTTTTCCCCCTCTGTGACATTCAACCTAAACACTCCATTTCTTCATTTCCTGTCATCTCTTGTGGTGATGCCCCTTGTACTCCCGACAATAATTCCTTCCCTCCCTATTTACTCCAGCCGGATTGTAAGGCTCTTAAGTTTGTCTCCCCATGGCCAGCTCTTAACCAAGTGATATATATGTTTAAGCCTTTTAATCTGCCTTTGGATATCAGTCTCTCTGTGCCTTTGATCCTTTGTGTGGCTTCCCTCTGAACTGCGGCCAATTCATTGGTGCTGATGGGCTCCAGCTCCAGCCACACCTGAGCATCCCAGTGTTTCCATGGGCTCTTGGAGCAACACCAGGGGCTGGCCTGATGCTGCAG